TTCTGTAAATTAAGGGCAGAGATCATAACCAATGGTGACTCTGAGCAGCTCCCATTTGTGTTTGCAGGTCTAAGTGCTGGCATTTTTCATAGGTGCTAAGGATGTAGTGAGTCTCATGACATGTACTTGAGATTTGGGCTGTTGATTTGGGTTTTAATCAATAGATTTTGTTAGTATGCCAGGACAAGGTGATATTGCAAGCAGATCTCACAGGAAAGGGAGGGAGAGCTCTATAGAGCAGAGGCAAGAACACTCCAAAGTCCTGGTGTGCAGGGAGGGAGGGAAGTACCTGTTCAGGGGAGCTCCAGGTGGAAATTGCACCTGTGGTCATGTTTGCTTTTTTTCTGTGCAGACATTATAAAGTGACAGTTTTGGTGGATCTGTCTCTCTGAGAAGATTTCAATTGCAGTCCACTTTTTAAGTCACAAAGCAAAACGACACAGGCTGCCAAGAGAGGCATTTATGTTCCATGGGCCCCCAAATAGCATCCACCTCCCATTGACTCTGGCAGTCCTGAGGATATAAAAACGGGCAATTCAATCTTGTTTTCTTCTTTCTAGGCTGGAATGAAACACAGGGAAAAGTAATCTGTGGGGTTTTGCTGTGTTCAGTCACATTGACGGTTCTGTAGCAGGGATTCTGGTTCTAGCTGCCAGGCTCCTGGAGTTTGCTCAGACATCAAACCCTCAGGGAGGTGTAAGCCAGGTTCCTTGTCAAGGAAAGGGGTATCAGATTGGGTAATTTGCACACCATCACTGAAGAGGAACTGTGGATACAGAAATCTTGCTCAAGGCGTAATTCAGAAAAAGGGACATTATGGTAATTTAGACAAAAGCTGGTCTCAACCTAGAGTGTTTTTATGCTTGGCCTCTGCTGCGACCATTTTTCTTTCAATGCCTGTCATTGTATATAAATGTTTATTGTACTAGAACTGTGTCATAACGGAGAGGGGTGGAGACAACAGATTGAGAAAGTGCTACGATGCTGGCTACTTTTCCTCCAAGAAGGAAATTCTAAACCAGCAGAGTGAGGCCAGCTGCACTATATATCACATTGATATAAGTCACTGAAATGCTGAGTTCCCAAAATTGTGTTCCTTCCTCTTCACAATCTCTCATTGCTCGCATTGGAAGTGGAGGTGGGCATGGTCACTGCTGGACGTGAGACGTGAGCAGCCAGGGGGATATTATGGGGCACAAACGGGTGCAGGGACAACTGGAACAGTAACCACATGGAAACTCATTGCCCACGCCCTCCTTTTCTCTGCCCCGCCCACATCAGAGCTGGAATCATTATCCCCAGCACTGACTACAATTCCTCTCCCTGCAGGACCCTGAGGTCTCAAACTTGCGCCTCAGCTGACCGTAAGCATGGGATAGGCATTAATGTAATGAATCTGATGAAACCTCTCAGAGGAGGATGCTGTGCAAATACTGTTAATAAAAAGCTTTATTCTTTTTCTCCCAAGCCCTTCCACCTTATGCAAGAATATAAAGAAATATTAACTTTACTTTCCTAGTGAGGGAGAGACATAGAGCCCTGAGAAGGTTTTCCCGCAAGGCACTAATGGGTAAATCTGCCAGCACTTTGATGAGATGAAACATGGAACTCTATATTCTGTGCCAACTGCTTCTTTCTTTAGAACACAATGTCATTTTTATGAGTGAAACTGGAAAGAAAGAGAGAAAAAACAACAACAACAACAAAAACCAAGGGAGAGAAGGCTGCCCTCTCGTTTCCCCTGGCAAACCTCTCAGATTCCAGCAGACCCCTTCCCCTGAGACAGAGCAGGGCTGCACAGCTGCTCCTAACAGTGAAAAAGGAGCAAATCAAGCAAAAACTATATAAAAAAAAAAAAAACCTCGACAATTCTTAAAATGTTTAATAGTTACCCTCAACTAACTATATGAGAGGAAATTATACTCAAATCTTATTTGAACAAATCTCATAACAACAAATTGTCTACCTTTATGTCTTCCAAACTTTTCTAATGACTTAGTGATCAATTTATAATAACTTATCAATCACTGACAAGTCCAAGCACTGAGCCCTTTTGTGATCCATTTCAAACAAGAGTCAGTTGCAAGCCTCTTTTCAAGTCCGACTTCGGGATGGTGGCTTGTGGTAACAGTGCCTTTTCCCTCTTCTCTTTGCTGGAATGCCCTGCCAGCTGCATCAGATCCTACCCTTCAGGACCTACCTAAACCACCTCCTCCTCCACTGCGCCAATTCTTCACCCACCCCAAGCTCTGGCAGAAGGCATTTCTCCCTCTTTAGGACTGCCTTGTCTTTATTTGAAGGGAGATATTATGTATAGGTTTATTATTCTTACTGTGTATGACTCAGTTCCCCCTCCTGGACTGCATACTCCTTGAGGTGCAGAACTGGAGGACAGCATTTGATATGCCTTTATACATGGCATGTTTGCAGATCTAAGTGTTGGCATTTTTCGTAGGTGCTAAGGATGTCGTGAGCCTCATGACATGTTCTTGAGATTTGGGCATTGTTTGGATTTCTTATATGCCATTATTACTCAAAGTGTGACTCATAGGCTAGCAGCATGTGCATCGGGAGATAATTAGAAATGGAGTCTCCCACCCCACCCCAGTCCTACTTAATCAGAATCTGCATTTTAATCTTTTACCTACCCAGGTTATTCATAGATACATTAAAGTCTGAGAAGTGCTGTTATATACTTAATAGATATTTTTCACATATGCCAATTTCTATGCAAAGATCTTCCCGTTCACCCACTCCCACCCTCTATCCTGGGCACTGCAGATGAGCTACCTACGGGTGGCAAGAGCACTTTCTCCTTGTTCACTCCAGCTAGCCATCCATAGCCTCCATGCATTCAGGCAGCAAGTCATTTATTAATTAATTCCTTCACACAACATTTACTGAGGGTCTGCCTCCTATATGCCAGGCATTGTGCCTATTCCACAAGAACATTTACCTCTCAACACACTGAATCAGGTTTATGGGATTAGGAACAAGACAAGGGAAGTGGCATGTAAATCGTGTGTCCTGTGCCTACCAGGATGCTTGTCTGTTGCACAGATTTCTGGTGGATCAGAAAGAACTCAGTCCATAGACTCAACCCTGCTTCCAGGACTCAGCTGGCTGCTGCCCCCCAGGCCTGGCTCTCACTGGTATAAGCTCTGCACCCATGTTTTCTCAAGCCTCAGGACACACCCCAATCACTGGGAGGGCTTGGGAAACACAGAATGCTGAGCCCACCCTGAAACTCCTGATGCAGTAAGTAGTGATGTGCCAACAAGAACAGAAACGGGCAGAAACACTAAAGAAAGACGCCTATATTCTTTAGGCTTTCCTGATGAGGGGTATCCTGTCAAACCCCATTCCCATAGGTGTTGCAGAATGTTTGCAGAAAAGACTGTAAAGAAGTGAGGTCTCCATTTAATGAAGCCCATTGAGAGAAGTCTAGAAAGTTCACCAGGACCTGAGCAGGGGCGGGGGACAAACTAGGGCCTGATTGTCCTGGTTTTTCACTTGCGCTGTAAGCTTTATGTGTTACAATGTCATTAAAGGTAGAGAGACCATGACTCAACCCATGGCAAGAAAAATAAATCTGTGCAATAGTGGGGAGCTTCAAAGCTAGATGTAATTATCTCCCACAGACGAAAACCAGCAGGTGAGCCCTGGCCCAGGAATAGCTCATTTCCTCCCTGCCTACAGCTGTGCCCGAGTCGAAGTTGCTGAGGCTGGGGTTGAGGGGTGCCTTCCCCTGCCTCCGGCTTGCCTCCTCTCTCAGGCACCTCATCTTCCACCCAGTGTTATTACGAAATCAAGCGGCCTGTAAAAGGAGGACTGGGAGAATGTAAAGAGTCCCTCCTCTGTCTCCAATCCTTTCTCCCTTCCTCCCATGCCCCCATCACTTCCTAAACCCAACTGCAATGAATCGGTAATGAGAATATGCAACAGTATTTCCTAGAATAGGATTTTCTACCTCCTTTTGGAAATACTCATCTTATTCCCATAGTGCCCTGATTCCAACAGTCTATGACATATTCAATGACAATATCATATGGACTAAGAAGGCTGAATACCCATACCTTAAGGCTAACCAGCTTCCAGAAGAATCCTTAAATTCCATTTCCAGATCAATCCTGGATGTACCGAACTTGATCAACACCAGGAGTTTCTATCAAGTTAGTAGGGGCCTAGAGAAATCTAGATGTCATTTGAAGCCCTTTCTCTTTCCCATACCCGGCAGAAATGGGTGTGAGATCTTGCACTGAGCATCTGAAGTTTTCAGGATTGTTCCCAGGACAACCACACCTGAAAGCTTTCCTTTGACTCAGTCTACCTTGTGGCCATTCGACCCCCATGTCAGCTCTCATCCACTTCCAGCCCAACTTCTATATTGGTGCCTCATTTTAATTGTTGTTTTTTTCTGGCCTTATGTTGTAACTTCTCCTTTTTATCTTGGATATTTTAGGCCAAGTATGTGGAAATTTGATGCATGTGACCCCCTTTGGCACAGTCTGATATTTCTCAAATCCCATTTTCTATCTCCAATTCTGGAAATTATGAAGTCAGAAAGCCCCATGAGGACTTATGTTTACTGGCAACACAAGGGCAGATACCATGTCTGTCTTACTTTCCTATTGCCTCCCATATTACCTGGCACTTAATAGGTGTTCAACAAATATTTTTCCATGAACAAGTGAATTACAGATATATCACACCATGGGCAGACAGGTGACAAGCTAATATAATTTTCATTGTGCAACTACTCTAAGTGCTTCTGGACAATTGATAAGGTTATATTTATAACCCAAAGGATTAATGTTCATAAAGTACTTTGAAATCCACAAAACAATAATGCTGTAAAAGAGTCAACTATTCCCTGGTGGCGATGATCAGAGAATCAAAGTGTACAATTCATTTGGTATTTAAAGGGTAGATATGAGTAAGGAGGGAAAGAGAAATGGGACATTATGAGAAAAAAAATCAATAAACAAATTAAAACTCACCTTTATCATAATCATCATCCTCAACTGCATCTTCTTGAAGTTTCTGAAGCTTTAATCTTAAGGATATTACCTATGTTGGTTTAAAGGGGAAAAAATAAAAAATTACAATAGAATTCAAGCAAAAACTTGTGAAAACTAAGAACATTTAAAAAGTGTTTCAAAACTGAACTTCTCTTTTTAAAAAACAAAATGCACATTTTTTTCAATGCCAGATACATTCGCTTCTCCAAAAAAAAAGTTGATATAAAGAAAAGGCGTAATTTGAGCATAACACCCACATAAATAGTTAAAATGTTATTTTAAACAAAAACATCACACTGTGCCCTTATCTGCATGAAGAAATGCATAATGAGAAGGAAGACAAATTTCCTGACCAAATGGTCTCTGTTCTAAAAATCACATTAAAATTATAAAGGTAAACACATCGAAATTGGAAGAAAAACCAAGAGAAAAAGCGCATGAACTTAAGCGCAGCAGGCTGTCCTGAAAGCTTGACTAAGAATGACAGCAAACCCCTCACAAAACCCTTCTGAGAAGCCCTAAGGCTCAAATATTTTCCATTACAGAAAAGGGCACAGTCTTATGTCAACCCACATGGAGACTCAGTGATCCAGTTACCTGTCTGAATGTTACCAATGTGTTGACTTAGCATCACTGACATGGTTTGGCTGTGTCCCCACTCAAATCTCATCTTGAATTGTAGCTCCCATAATTCCCACATGTTGTGGGAGGGACCTGGTAGGAGGTAATTGAATTATGGGGGTGAGTCTTTCCCATGCTGTTCTCATGATAGTGAATACGTCTCATGAGATCTGATGGTTTTATGAAAGGGAGTTCCCTTGCACAAGCTCCCTCTTGCCTGCCACGATGTAAGACATGCCTTTCTCCTCTTTTGCCTTCCACCATGACTGTGAGGCCTCCTCACCAGCCATGTGGAACTGTGAGTTCATTAAACCTCTTTTTCTATACAAATTAACCAGACTTGGGTATGTCTTTATTAGTAGCATAAGAACTGAGTAATATAATTATTGTTCTTCTCAACGGGAGACCCAGAGATTACTGACAATGAATTCTTGGCCTACCAATGAATGAATTTGGGCTAAAAAAACACCTTCTGCCCATTCTTTGCCTGGCTCACACCTACATTTCCTTCGACCCTTAGCACAGGTGTTGTCTCCTTCAGTCCGTATTAAATGTCCCTCCTCTATACCACCACTGTGACCTGTTCTTGGTTCTATTCATAGACCCATTCAACAAATATTTGCCAAGTGCCTCTTAGATATTAGGCCATTTTTGTATTGTGTTGGTGTACCAAGGCTACATCATAAAATGCTTAGCCCTCTAGACTTACATTCTAGACAAAAACATAATACAGTTGACCCTTGAACAACACAGGGATTATGGGCACTGACTCCCTTCCCTACACAGTTGAAAATCTGTGTAAAACTTTTGACTTCCCCAAAACTTAACTATTAAGAGCCTACTGTTGACTAGAGACCTTACCATAAACAGTTGATTAACACACATTTTGTTTGTTATAGGTATTATATTCTGTATTCTTACAATAAAAGTAAACTGGAAAAAAGAAAATGTTATTTAAAAATCATTGAGAAAAAAATAAAATCAGCATCGACTAGACGATGAAAAAAATCATAAGAAACATAAAATAAATTTCCTATTCATAGTGAAAATGGATCATCATCAAAGTCCTCATCCTCATCATCTTCATCTTGAGTAGGCTGAGGAGGAGGAGGAAGGGGGTTGGTCTTGGTGTCTCAGGGGTAGCAGAGGTGGAAGAGAATCTGCATATAAGTGACCCTTGCAGCTCAAACCAATGTGGTTCAAGGGTCTACTGTAAGCTTTTTTGTTTGTTTGTTTGTTTGTTGTTTTTTGTTTTGTTTTTTTTTTTAGACAAAGTCTCACTCTGTCACACAGGCTGGAGTGCAGTCATGTGATCTCGGCTCACTGCAACATTTGCCTCCCTAGTTAAGCGATTCTCCTGCCTCAGCCTCCCAAGTAGCTGGGACCATAGGCACCCACCACCACACCCAGCTATTTTTTTTATTTTTAGTACAGACAGGGTTTCACCGTGTTAACCAGGATGGTCTCGATCTCCTGATCTCATGATCCACCTGCCTCAGCCTCCCAAACTGCTGGGATTACAGGCATGAACCACCATGCCCGGCCAGTCAACTGTAAGTTTTATGGCACCTTAGCAAGGGATTAATACTATGAAAAAGGAAAAGGGAGAACCAAGTTAGGGAGATTAGGGATGCTGGTAGAGGTGGGGACTGCAATTTGAAATCTGATCTCCTTGAGATGGTGACATTTACGCAAAGATTTAAAAGCAGTAAGGGACTGAACCATGAGGCTGTCTGGGAGAAAAACATTCCCACAGAGGAAGAGCCAGTACAAAAGCTCATGCAGAAGTGTTTCTGGTAAGAAAGCAAGAAGTGAAAGTGAAATGAGAAGCAAATGGAAGCAAGATGCCACTGGCTCTGGGGCGGATTGATAGAAAACTGTAGCGAATGAGGTCAGAGAGGTAACGAAGATGGTGTCAAGAAGAGACATGAAGACCATTTTAAAGTTCCGATTTTACTCTGAAGTTCATGGGGTACCACTGGAGGGCTTGGAGCAGAAGAGCACATGATCTGACTTATGTTTCAAACACTTTCACTCTGGCTGCTGTTAGTAAGGGCAGAAGAAGGGAGGCCAGGTAGGAGGCTATGGGAACATTCAGGAAGGAGATGCCGGGAGCTTGGATGATAGTGAGGATGGTGACAACAGCGAAGATGGTGAGATGTGATCTGATTCTGGATATATTCAGAAAATGGCTGGTTAAACACAGAGCCAACGGGATTTGCTAACACATCACAGGTGGGGTCTGAGGGAGACACACAAGGATGATGCCAAGGTTTGTTGGGGTTTTTTGGTTTTTGGTTTTTTTCTGAGCCACTGGAAGAATGGAGTACTGATTACACCAGGTTATACTCATTGTTTTGCTTTGTTTGGTTTGGTGGGTGCACATCATCCAACCTTGAGCATCTGGAGGGAAGAACTATTTTGCGTCCATGTATAAGATGCTAGTATTTACACTTACTTGATTCTCCACTGCTCTGGTTACATGGAAAGAGTACAAATGCCTTTCTCCTTGTTCTGCTGAACAGGGGTATGAGTGGAAGTGATGGGGTTACCTCTATGCTGAAGCATCTGATCGTTCTTGTAGGACTTCCTAACATTCTCTTCCTCATGTCAGTGACTAAGGGGGCCATATGTTCAGATGGCGCAGGCTGGGTTCTTGAGTGATTCTATGGAGCAGAGCCCCCACCAAAACCCTCTGTTGAACATGAAGCATACACACAAGAAACACAATTTTGTTGTGTTGAGCCTCTAATGTAGTGCTTGTTACTAACCTATCCTAACAATCTCCAAAGCCTAGCATAAGACATCGTACTAGTAGTCATTGAAGAACGCTTTCTGAATGAATGAAAGAATGAATGAACAATGATATTAACCTCTTTGTCCTTGAATTGCTCTATATTACAACCGGGAAGTTTACCAGTAACTTAGTCCTATATATTAGGGATAGAAGAAAGGCTGTGTGAATGGTTTGAGCGCCACATAAAGCTGTAGCATTACCATCGCCACATCCAAATGACAGTATCATTAAACATTTATTAGAACAGAAGCCGAAGAAATGCAGGAAATAGGGTCAGAAAAAAACTCATTTACAGCCAAAGCCCACCCCACCATGCCCGCCTCATCCAGTGATCTCCATAAGACCCTGAATGGACTGCCCTGGGACATGTCTGAATGCCCATCTTTGCTGGAGGCACAGCCCCAGTGGCCATGCCTTGCACGGTGCCACCACCCTGCCTGTGGAACGTCCTGTAATGCCCTGCAGCCATCGTCCTTCCTTTCTCACCAGTTTCTATGGCCTTAGGTTCAGCCTACCTTGCGGGGCCCACTCCACATCCCTCCTCTGCACGCCTAGTTACCAACTGCCTTTATTACCATCTTCTCAGTCCCACCCAACCCCTGGAAATCTCACTGGGCAGCGATTTCTAAACAGCGTAAAATATACACAGTTGATTCTCCTTATTCACAGTATCGTAGTTATGTACTATAAAATGTCTGTGAACACTGAATTAGGGAATAATGAAACATTGCTCCTAGGAGAAATATGGGATAGGTTCCCATGAGCCCCCGGTCACAACACATTCCTCAATCAGTCGACACATAACCTTGTTCTATGTGTGTTTCTGTTTAAAAACACCTTATTTAAAGTGTATTATTGATTCATGAGCATTGCACTCTGGCCAGCAGCACTCTAACACATGCCTGAATGAAGTTTATGGAGCACCCATGTCTTCTCCATTAGGCCCATCACAGCCTTCTCGTGCTTAGTAGCACTAGACGGCACTGGCACTGTGCTTAGGGGCCATTTGAAACAGCGAACTCACCAATAAAGAACACAAAAAAGTAATAAAAAAAAAAAAAAGATGGCATTAAATAGACCATGAAAAGGATACTAGTTTGCAGTACGAAAGAGAAGGTAGAATGTCGTCTGGTCTGACCTTGTTTGACCTAAGTAGAAAGCATGCACATCAGGTGACCCACATTTTTTGCCACTCTGTGCAGGTTCAAAAATGACCCCCATCACGACGGCTCACGCCTGTAATCCCAGTACCTTGGGAGGCAGAGGCAAGAGGATCGCTTGAGGCCAGGAGTTCAAGGCTAGTCTGGGCAACATGGTGAGACCCCCATCTCTACCCCCCCAAAAAAATTAGCTGGGCATGGTGGCATGTGCCTGTAGTCTCAGCCACTAGGGAGGCTGAGGCAGGAGAATCACTTGAGCCCGGGAGTTCAAGATTATAGTGAGTTATGATCACACCACTGCACCCCAGTCTGGATGACAGAGAGATACCCCATCTCTTAAAAAGTAAAATAAATATTAAAAATGACCGTAAAAGTGCTGTGAGTATTCATTTTGGAGTTAACAACAAATTTTAGCAAGTACACAAGTTCACACATACAGAATCCATGAATATTGAGGAGCAACCATCTTTCAGAAGAAACTGAAACTTCCATTCCTGAGATTCTCATTTTTACTTACGTAGAAGGGAAAGGAGGTTAAGGAATTAGAACATAATATCGAAAAGGCTCCCAAACACTAAAAATCCTACTATTTGAAAGGCTCTCTTTGGATATACTTCACTCAACCTTCTGCCCTGTCCCAAGGACATTAGCTGCAACCCCAGTGAGCAATCTGGGGCCTCTGCCTAAACACCATGGGAAAACAAGTTCCTGGGCAGCTCGCCTCATCACAGACAGCTCCCACTGTCAAGAGGTTCTTCCTCTGATTGAGGTAAACTCTGTCTTCCTGTAAGAACTACGTCCGGGACTGAGTTATTTCTGCCATCCCCACTGCTCTGTTAATGCCTCTCCCACAGGACAGATACTCAAGTATGGTCTTGCATTACTTAATGACAGGGAGGCATTCTGAAAAGCGCATTATTAAGTAACTTCACTGTTGTGTGAACATCGTAGAGCGTGCTTACACAAATCTGGATGGTGTAGCCCATTACACACCTAGGCTAGATGGAATAGTCTATTGCTCCTAGGCTACAAACCCAGGATATGCAGCATGGGACTGTGCTGAATACTGTAAGTAAGTGTAACACAATGGTAAGTATTTGTGTGTCTAAACAATCCTGAACATAGAAAGGGTACAACAAGGCCAGGTGCGGTGGCACAAGCCTGTAAACTCAACACTTTGGGAGGCTGAGGCTGACAGATCACAAGGTCAGGAGTTCAAGACCAGCCTGACCAACGTGGTAAAACCCGGTATCTACTAAAAATACAAAAAAAAAAAAAAAAATTAGCTGGGCGTGGTGGTGCACACCTGTAATCCCAGCTCCTCAGGAGGCTAAGGCAAAATAATCACTTGAACCCAGGAGATGGAGATTGCGGTGAGCTGAGATCATGCCACTGCACTCCAGCATGGGCAACAGAGCAAGACTCTGACTCAAAAAAATAAAAAAGAAAAGAAAAAGAAAGGGTACAACAAAAACACCGTATGATAATCTTATGGGACCACTGTCACATCATATATGTGATCCGTCATTACGCAGTAGATGACTGTAATTGAAGATAGTGTCATGTTTTTACCTGCCCAGGTGTGGGATTACCATAGACAACAACATTTAGACTACAGAAAAATTGTGTCCAGATTCTACCATTTGAGATAAGATGGGAATTTAATTTGAGCTATGGGCAGAACTTCATTTGCTTTTCACACAAACTTTCTAAATTGGAGCTATTTCTCTAATGATGACAATGGGCAATTTCTGGGTACTTGCTAGGTGCCAGCCCCTGTCTGAAGCACTTTGCATTTTAACACATTTTAACACATTTAACTAAATGTGTTAATTACACATTTAGTATAATTAACTGGAGAAGAGAAACACGGCCTAAACCTTGAAAAACCCAGGTGAAAGATAACAAGGACTTGAGCCAGGGCAGCAGCCATGGCGGTGAGAGACAGATTAGCGGTAGGACTGAGAGGGCTTGGAGGCCGGCCAGATGTGGAATGCGGGAGAGGGAGGTGTGGAAGACGGTGTGGCTTCTGGCCTAAGAAACTGGATAGATTCCATGCATTCAAATCAATCAATATTGGAGGCCCTTTAGAATAGGTTTGAGGGTAAGGCAGAAGCACTGGTTTGGGCAATGACTTACTGGAAGACTCCACACATCACCCAAAATACAGGCCTACATCTCTGCTCTGGCCTCACTCCCTCTCTGCCTGATAAATCAGAGGGCTGGGCTGCAGTCCCTGAGGGCTGAAACAGGGCAAACAGGGGCAGGACTAGGAACATCAGACTGCAGATAAGAACTGAAGGTAGATGCTACTTCAGGGAGTGAACGTGAACTTCTGCAGTTTGCTCCTCCCAAATGCCTGATGAGTGGGTGCTCCACTTCCCTATTCACATGAACACATGCACACACACACGCACAAACACAAGTGCACATGCATGTGCAAATATATGCACACTTACACACACATGCACATGCACACAATACAAACATGCACACACACACACACATACATGCACACCTGTGTGCACATACACACACACACATACATGCACACCTGTGTGCACATACACACACACACATACCAGAATTAAAACACAGTCTGGCAATAGATCAGCCACAGTGCATCTCTACCTGGGCTTCTCGAGTATTTTTGTGGGTAGAGAAACTCCGCCTACTTCCGGCTATACCCACCTCTAAGATAACTGGATGGACAGCATCATCATAAGCCTGGGGCTTACATGTCTCCAGTTCGTCCTTATTTCCAAAGCAGCTACATTCTCGTTTGAGCCTTAGAACAATCCTATGAATTGGTGTTATCTCTAAATATGGAAACTGGGCAGGTGCGGAGGCTCACGCCTGTAATCCCAGCACTTTGAAAGGCTGAGGCGGGTGGATCACGAGGTCAGGAGTTCAAAACCAGCCTGACCAAGATGGTAAAACCCCGTCTGTACTAAAAAATACAAAAATTAGCCAAGCATGGTGGCATACTGTTAATCCCGGCTACTTGGGAGGATGAGGTAGAGAACTGTTGAACCTGGGAGGCAGAGGTAGCAGTGAGCCAAGATCATGCCACTACACTCCAGCCTGGGCGACACAGCCAGACTCCATCTCAAAAAAAAAAAAGAAAAACAACTATGGAAACTGGGAGCCAGAGAGGTTCAATGACCAGAAGCGAAGACTCCTGACCCTATGGAAGGCAGCGCCCACCGCAGCAGGACGAACGGGAATGAGTGAAGCGGATGAAGAACAGGATCGCCCTGATGCAAAGCATCCTCATTTTTATATCTTTCAACCCCTTCCAAACATCACCCAGCTCAATCGCCCCTTCCCCTAGTTTCCTGTCTCAAAGCAGGGCTGGGCTGAATGAACCACATCTCACCTAGGCCGGGACCTACGGAGGGGCCTGTGGCCCGATGGAAAGCAAATCTGAGCACCTAAGTGACAGAGAAGACAAAAAGGAGAGCAGATTTGTGTCCAATTCAAAGAAACAGAAGGGCAGCCACAGCCTTGTGCAGCCAGCTCCAAAATGAGCTGCTGCAGCTTCCAGGAGGAAGTCAGTTGAGTCCAGGACCCCTCATTTCCTCCCTCTGCCCAGTGCTAATCTGAGCTCACAACAATCTCGGGACACAGAGGGGAGGAGACACTGACCTTCACCTGCCTCCGGTTTCTCAGCAGGCAGTCCTGCAGCGCTGGCTCCCATTTCCTGAGCAGGGCGTCCCAAGAGTGGGCATCCCCCAAGTCGCTGCTCCCATCACCACCACAGCCAGCCAATGAGGGATCCAGAGAACTGGAGGAGCCAAGATCCACATCCCATAAAGAATGCATCTCACGTTCTGGCCTGGAGCTGTTCCCTGCGGCCTGCGCCGAGTCTGCCAAGACCCGTGGAGCCAAGAGACTGAAGGGCCGAGGGAGACATCGAAGGTCTTCGTGAGGCTCATTCAAGCTGGCAGCTTTGGCTCCCATTTCCCGGGTGCTCTGGCAAGGGGACTCGGTCTCTCTGGATGGTGGGCAGCCTTCTGCTTCTCCACGTTCCCCGGCAGAACCAAGCGAGAGCCGAATAAAGCTAAAGCTTGAGGCAAAGGCACTGTGACAGCCAGGGGGGGCTGCGGGGGCCTCAGGGCCACAGCCAGGGCTGCAGCTACTCAACTCCGCTGATGGCAGAGAGCCTGCTGCCTGGGTACTGCTTGCTCCTTCACTGTAGGCTGCGTCCCAGCTGGCGTCCGGGGTCCCAGAACTGTCCATGGCTGAAAACTCTTGCTGCCACCCAGCATTCCCAGGGCTACATGGCCTGCTTAGTCTGTCAGGCAATCTGGTGCCACCTCTGAGCTGAATCCCAAAGTGTGCTGAGGTTCCTCTCACAGAGGTCACAGCAGGGGCTGCTGTGCTCTTGGAAACAGGGCTCCCAACCAAGAGGCCTCTCGGGTCAAAGCCACACTGTCTAGTTCTGGACTCCGAATGGTGGGACTCCTCGCCAGACACCCCTCCCGGGACCCGGAACAGTGTGCCCACTGCTGGGGAAAGGAACCCGATCCTGGGCCCTGTCGAGCTTCTCATGTAGCCTGGTCTCCGTGCCAGCCGCCGCCTCCGAAAGCACGCTGCAGGTGGTAAGCAATCCCGGCTGCCTGGGAAGGAAAGAGAAAACAGCACCATCAGCATGCAGATCTTACTGGCCCAGCTGGAACTGCATCCGGAGAACATCCCTAGGTTTAAAGGTCATCTCTCGGTACACCTGACAAAGATAGATGCTGGCTCAGTGGCCCCGGGGCCAACCCATGTTGAAAATCCTGACAATCCTCAGAAGTGTTTGCCTGGAACGTGCAGAAATCAACACAGCATCTCAGCAGCTCGGTTTAGCAAAGCAGCTGACACTGCTGCACCCTATGCCAACAGGTCAGCACTAATATAACCTTGGCGGCTCCTGAACCCGCCAACATCTTGCCATCAGTATGGCACATCAGTAGTTTCATCCTGGAGTGGGCCTGGAAAGCAAATGATGTGAAACTGGAATGCCAGGGCATGCCTCTAAATGAGATCCAACCATTGACTGCAGCTATTCACTGAACAACGTGTCAATGTTCACTTGCAGTCCCTGCAAGACTGATCTGTTGCTGCAGACCATGGATGGCTGGCTGTGCCGTAATGTATGGCGATGATCTCATCTCACTCAATGGATGACAGGGGGCCGGTCTGATGTGTTCTCCAAACCAGCGCTACATTCCCCCCCAGCTATGCTCCCAGAATAGGAACAATAACAAATGCTGACTCCTCATGGCCTGGTTCAAACCTTGATTGTACTACTTGCTGGTTATGTGACCTTCCACAAGTTACATAACCTCTCTGTGCCTCAGTTTCCCATAAAGTGGTGATATTAATAGTAGTTCTCTCATAAGGTGGTTGTGAGCATTCAACTAAATGAGTTACTATTTGTAAACAGCCTAGAACAGTGCCTGGTACATATGACAAGAGTGATTAAAATGTTATTATTATTAGATTGCATAGCACTTTGCTACTCAAAATGTGTTTTTAATCTACATTAATTTCATTCACTCCTGACCAAAACCACATGAATCAGCCAGACCAGAAACTACAGCTTTCCTTTTATGTAAAAGGCAACCGTGATTCAGAGAACTTGACTTTCCAGAACTCCTTGCAAGTAGCCAAGTGACCAGGCCAAAGTCTCTTGACTCTACCGGTAGACACACAGCTCTAATCTCAGGACCGGCTACATCGCAAATCAGGCATGAAAGTAAAACCAGGCCACACCAGACACAGCTGTAGTCAGTCATACCATGGCCTATGGCGAGAAGTGGAACAAAGCTTCACTCCAGGCCCATATGTCCTGCCTTGCCTCCCAGAACAGAAACGGGCTTGGAATATTTGTCCTGTTAAGCTGAGATCACAGGCATTAAGGATCCCACTGAGCTAGGATCATGGCACATGCCAGCTCCTAAAAGGGGTGGGGGTAGCATTGATAATCTCTGGGAAAATGAGCACAATGGCCTCCAGCCCCCCACTTCCTGACTTGAGCATCCGAAGATAACAGAGCCCAGGACTTGCTCACACAGTGACTTGCTCACACAGCGACTTGCTCTTGCCAACTGCAGGGAGCCCCAGAAGGGCTAATGCTGCCCCAGGTACACGGAATTCTGGAAGCTTGCAGGGAAGGGAGGAATGGGAGCAAGGACAAAACATGACTTGCGTATAAATTTATAGTGGAAGCATAAGGGAATATGTTCTCTTCAGGGAAGGGATTTTAATCCCATCTGTCACGGTTGGGCATAAGATCTTAAGACATTCAGGTTAACCAAACATTCAGAACATAAAGAAATAATATATCCCTGTGGATTAATTTGTTTCCAAAGAATCAGAATCCAGTAATAGGCACTAAGCACAAATGCTCTACTAGTCCAAGCTCATCTCCCTTCAGTAATTCAGAGAGCACTTAAGGCTTCTGAAGTGTCTCAGGTCATTGTAATAGGCATCCAGTAAGCAAGGCAAGTCCAGAGATGGAATAAATCAGCCTGTATTGTATTTCTAATTTAACCATGTAATCCATTTCCATAAACAATTCCTTATTGAACACTAGATGATGCATGGGGTACAGACATGAACAAGACACCATCCCTGCCCCCAAACTGCTTATGATCTAGCAAGAGTTGTCAGTCATGCATACAAAAACTGTTACAAGAATTGAATGTACTCTTTCAATCATGGAGGACGGAGAATTCAATTTGAAATTAAACTAACAGAGGAACCCGGTTAGCTCCGTTGCTTAATGGTTCTTAGGCCTTCTATGAGCTCCAAATTATGTGCCACCCCATAAAACTACCTCATGGGATTAAAGGGAAGAATAGTGATGCATTTAGTGAAAAAGAAGTGAGGGTCTTTACAAACACATCTTTAATTTCTACCAGAAACAAAAAGTTTTTTGCCCTTTGAGAAAATGAGCTCTGTGAATCAGTCCCGATGCAGACGTATTGTGTGAGTTACTCGGTTTGAACTCAGAAGCACTGAGGAAGGACAGGGTTATATCCAGAGGCCTGATCCCACAGCTCTCCTATTAATAAAATGGCACAGAAATACTAGAAATAAAGTAGCAAACCCACCAGCCATTGTCCATGTTTGCAAATACAACCACACACACATTTGTACGTACTCATGCAAGCACCAAAGTGAAGAACACAGAGAAGTTTCTAGAACTGACATAGAAGAAGAATGATCATACTCTTCTCTCTTTATTCCCAGAAATGTCAACAAAAACATATAAGTGTAAAATCTAATTAATCCCTACTTTGCTAATTGACAATTTCTGACATTTTAGAATGTATGTTGGTTTGGAATTGACCTCCCCAACCATTTCCTGAGGCTTCCATTGAATTTTCCCTATGATTTTTTTTTTTAACTTTTCTTTAATTGTGGTAACACATACCTAACATAAAATTACCATTTCTACCATGTGTCAGTGTATCATTCAGTGGCATTAAGTACATTCACACTGTTGTATAAGCATCACCATCATGTGCCTTTAGAACTTTTTCACTTTCCCAAACTGAAACATGGTATCCATTAAATATGAACTCCCCACTTCCCCCTGCCCCAGTCCCTGGTAACCACCATTCTACTTTCTGTCTCTAGATTTTTTCATTAATAATTCAACAACCTAGGCCTAAGCCTGGCCTAAAATTGGAAGTCCAACAGAAAGTACATTTTCAACAATACTATTCATGTGCATGAAAGAACATGGTGGGGACACACGTGTGATATAAAAATAATACAAATGTGATATGGTTTGGCTGTGTCCCCACCCAAATCTCATCTTGAATTGTACTCCTATAATTTCCACATGTTGTGGGAGGGATCTGGTGGGAGATAATTGGAATGATGGGGGTGGTTTCCCCCATAATGTTCCGTGGTAGTGAGTAAGTCTCATGAGATCTGATGGTTTTATCAGGGGTTTCCATTTTTGTATCTTCTACATTTTCTCTTGCCTCCACCATGTAAGAAGTGCCTTTCACCTCCTGCCATGATTCTGAGGCCTCCCTAGCCATGTGGGACTATAAGTCCAATTAAACCTCTTTCTTCCGAGTCTCAGGTATGTCTTTATCAGCAGCATGAAAATGGACTAATACGGTAAATTGGTACCAATAGAGTAGGGTGTTGCTGAAAAAATACCCGAAAATGTGAAAGCAACTTTGGAACTGTGTTAACAGGCAGAGGTTGGAACAGTTTGGAGGGCTCAGAAGACAGGAAAATGTGGGAAAGTTTCGAACTCCCTAGAGACTTGTTGAATGGCTTTGACCAAAAGCCTGATAGTGATATGGACAAGGTCCAGGCTGAGGTGGTCTCAGACAGAGACAAGGAACTTGTTGGGAACCAGAGCAAAGGTGACTCTTGTTAAGCTTTAGCAAAGAGACTGGCAGCATAGAGATTTGTGGAACTTTGAACTTGAGAGAGATGATTTAGTGTATCTGGCAGAAGAAATTTCTAAGCAGCAAAGCACTGAAGAGGTGACTTGGGCTGGATGTGGTGGCTCATGCCTGCAATCACAGCACTTTGGGAGGCCAAGGCAGGTGGATCATGAGGTCAAGAAATCGAGACCATCCTGGCCAACGTGGTGTACCCTGTCTCCACTAAAAATACAAAAATTAGCTGGGCATGGTGCACGTTCCTGTAGCCCCAGCTACTTGGAGGCTGAGGCTGGAGAACTGCTTGAATCCGGGAGGTAGAGGTTGCAGTGAGCCAAGATGGCACCAGTGCACACCAGTCTGGCAACAGAGCGAGACCCTGTCTCACACACCAAAAAAAGGAGGTGACTTGGGTGCTGTTAAAGGCATTCAGCTTTATAAGGAAAGCAGAGCATAAAAGTTCAAAAGATTTGCAGCCTGACAATGCGACAGAAAAGAAAACCCATTTTCTGAGGAGAAATTCAAGCCAGCTGCAGAAATTTGCATAAGTAAAAAGGAGTGAAGTGTTAATCCCCAGGACAAGGGGGAAGACATCTCCTCAGCATGTCAGAGGTCTTCACGGCAGCCCCTCCCATCACAGGCCTGGAGGCCCAGAAGGAAAAATGGTTTTGTGGCCGGACTGGGGTCCCCATGCCGTGTGCAGCCTAGGGACTTAGTATCCTGTCTCCCAGCTGCTCCAATCAGGGCTGAAAGGGGCCACTACAGAGCTGGGGCCACGGCTTCAGAGGTGCGAGCTCTAAGCCTTGGCACCTTCCACTTGGTGTTGAGTCTGCGAGTGAACAGAAGTCAAGAATTGGGGTTTGGGAACCTCCACCTAGATTTCAGAGGATGTATGGAAATGGCTGGATGCCCAGGCAGAAGTTTGCTGCAGGTGCCAGGTGCTCATGGAGAACCTCTGCTAGGGCAGAGGAAGGAAAAGGTGGGGTTGGAGCTCCCACACAGAGTCCCTACTGGGGTACCACCTGGTGGAACTGTGAGAAGAGGGCCACCATCCTCCAGACCCCAGGATAGCAGATCCACCAACGGCTTGCACCGTTTGCCTGGAAAAGCCACAGACATTCAGTGCTACCCTGTGAAAGTAACCGGGAGGCAGGTGGTACCCTGCAAAGCGACGGGGGCGGAGCTGCCCAAGACCATGGGAACCCACCTCTTGCATC